TGAGTTTTTAACCTCGTTTTAATAATATGGAGAGGATAGTGTGTTGCATTTTCACACGCAATGGTTAATAATTGTATCTCATTGCAGCTCCATCAGCTGCCCCACTTGCAGTCCAGGCATTTTCAAACAGCTCCTATAGCATCACCATCTTATGGTCCCCGCCCCCCGAAATTGACAGAAATGGTGTGATAATCTACTACGAGATTCAACTAACAGAGACAGAGAATGGAACTGAATTTGAATGGACATCTCCTGAACTCACTACAACACGTGGTTCACTTCATCCCCACTTTCACTATGAGTTTAGAGTTGCGGCCCATACTTCCGTTGGAACAGGGCCTTTCTCTGCTGTTGAAATCGTTCAAACATTGCCAGCAGGTACGCCACTACTGCACTGTTTTGTTGCATGTGATTTGCCGTTGTGTATTGTGCCCCTGCAGCTCCTACAGCAGCACCTACACAACTGAGAGTTTCAACCTTTGATTCGTCCACCATTTCACTAGTCTGGGAGCCTCCGCCATTTACTGATCGAAACGGAGACATTGTCCGCTATCATATCAGAGTTACTGAGCAAGAAACGCAGACTATATTTGAGTACAGCAGTACGAGTCAACGCTACACTCTGACTTCTTTGCATCCATATTACAACTATATCATACCATGCCGCAGAAACAGCTTGAGTGGTGGGTCCATTACTTCGGGTGCTTCAACAAACTATGGAGTCAGGTGAGTTTCATTCTCAGTCTTACTGGCCAGAGCACTCTTCCAGAGGTCTGGCACAAGACACTAGAAATGTAAAAAAAAGGATAACTGGTCCAATGTTTGTTATACACCACAGTCCTAGCAGTGCCCCAGGGAAACTTTTCCATGGCCGTTGTTAATTCAACCTCCATTTTACTGTCTTGGAGTGAGCTACCACCGCCGGAGAGAAAAGGTTGTTGTCAGGGCTACACCATTGGTCTCACAAATGTTAGGAATGGAAGAGGATACTGATTATAGTGCTGTCTCAGGGCCGTACAGCAGCATTGTAAATCTTTCATCCGATTTCACTTACGTGCTAAAGTTGCGCAGTAAACAGTGGTTGGGTGGTCCTTTGTCTTCTCAGATGATAGGCAGTGAAGACTCGCCAGGATCGACCAGTGCAGCGGGCTATGGTGTCGACTCACTGCAGAACACGCTGTACAGCTAGCAGCTGCTCCAACTATTGAGGTTACTCAACGGAGTGCTCCACTGTTCACCGTCTCAAATCCTGTATGTAGTGACTTCCTCTGTATGCCAGCTCTCCCGCATGACATACGTGCT